AACTAAAACTAACGTTTTATAATAAAACTAACGTCTTATACTAAAACTAGCGTTTTATACTAAAACTAACTTTTTATTCTAAAACTAACGTTTTATACTTAAATTAACGTTTTACACTGAAACTAAAGTTTCATAATAAAACTAACGTTCTAGACTAAAACTATATTTCTATTCTAAAAAAAAGTTGTATACTAAAACTAGTATTTTGCTCTAAAACTTACGTTTTATGCTAAAACTAACGTTTATACTTAAACAAGAGTTTTATACTAAAACTAACGTTTTATACTGAAACTAACGTTTTTTACTAAAACTAACGTTTTATACTTAAAACTAACGTTTTATACTAAAACTAACGTTTTATACTAAAATTAACGTTTTATACTAAAATTAACGTTTTATACTAAAACTAACGTTTTATACTAAAACTGACTTTTTATACTAAAACTGACTTTTTATACTAAAACTGACTTTTTATACTAAAACTGACGTTTTATACTAAATCTAACGTTTTATACAAAACTAACGTTTTTTAATAAAAATAACGTTTTATACTGAAACTAGCGTTTTATACTAAAATTAACGCTTGTATACTAAAACTAAAGTTTTATACTAAAACTTACGTTCTATACTAAAACTAACATTTAATACTAAAACTTACGTTTTTTTCTAAAACTAACGTTTTATACTAAAACTAACATTTTATACTAAAACTTACGTTTTATTCTAAAACTAACGTTTTATACTAAAACTAACGTTTTATACTAAAACTAACGTTTTATACTAAAACTAACGTTTTATACTAAAACTAACGTTTTATACTAAATCCAACGTTTTATACTAAAACTAACGTTTTATGATAAAACTAATGGTTTTTACTAAACTAAAACGTTTTATACTTAACTCACTTTTTACACTAAAACTAACATTTTATTCTAAAAACGTTCAATGAGTTGTAAACAGAATAACAAATCCATATTTCCCCGTTTGACAGTGAAGTATGTTCACAAAAAAAAGAAACATCATATAAAAAAGATTTCGGAATTTATTGAAAATATAAAATGTTGTGTGATTTATTTCTTTTCTCTTTTATTCTCTTAAAGCCACAATTGAACTTAATGAACGCACATTAGTTTTAATGCGAAATCAAATTTTCTGACATCTTTTTTTGGCGCTTTTTAATGCGCGCATCGCATTTTATGTTGAAAATTAATTTTTGCCAACACATGAATATTTTAACATGCTGCTGCTAATGACACATAATTTCAAAATCGTTTATATGATGAGATATAAATTTTTAGCTAAACATGAAGTATTATGTTAATTATATGAAACAAGTAGTTTCAATTCTGTGTACAAGAAAAATTTCATGCAATTTGATTGCGGTTTTGCTGATTTTAATAGATTATAGAGAAGTTAAAGGATAAATTAAAAACTCACCGTATTTTGAGTAGACAACTGAAATGGAAAATAAATAAAACTGTTTTAATGTAAATAGTTAAAAATAGTTATAGATTAATAAACATTTAAAATAGTTTATTATTAACTTAGTATGTGTGTTGCAATTTCAATTTACAATTCAAATAAAAACAAATTAAAATTTTACAATTTATCAAAAATGTATTTCCCATTTGAAATAATCAATTTAAATATTTCCTTTATAAATTTGGCTAAATTACTGAAACAGTAAAAATAATTGCATCAGCTTAAATTCTAAACTGCAAATGATTGATTAATTGTTTGATTGATGTACCAGAAATTCATGATTATGATGATGAGTTGAGATGTGAAATGATATGATGTGATTGATACAATGCCACAAAAAAACATATGTTTTTGTTATGTGTTGTGCGGTTTATTATTTAAATGAGAAAAAAAAACTTTTTGCCACCCATATTCTGCAAAACGTATGATAATTATGCCAAATGTGGTAAAAGTACAAAATGAAAAAAATAGAACTTTTAAATATGTGTATTTTTTCATTATTGTAATGAAAAAAAATAAAACATTTTGTAGGCAACAGAGCATGATAATAATGATTGTAGACATTTTCTACTGTTGATTGTGATTGATATGAATAATTAATGAACATTAAAATATGATGGGCAGAAAAAGTGATTTAAATGATTACTACGATTAGAAGGGAAATTAAGGGAGAAAAGCTGTAATGGATAAAAGTTTTATATCTACTTTTTTTTGATGAATCATTAAAAAATTTATTCTTATGGGTTTTTATTGAGGGGGAAAAAGTTATATATTTTACACGCTTTTATGAATGTGTTATAAGAAAAAAACAATCAACAATTGCACAGTGGAACAAAAGCTGTAACTGATATAAAGATTTGTGTGTAGAGTCGTCAATAAACTAGCTTAAACTTTCATGTAAAATTATTTAGTCTTGCCTATAAACAAATCTATACTATAGTTTAGCAACTCGTCTAAAAAATCTCGTCTATAGCCTCTGGTCTATAAACTCCTATATAGTCTAGATTCTATATATTCGACTCATCCATAAAGTTGTCTATAGACTCATCTATAAACTAGTCTATAAAATCGTCCAAGACTCGTCTATAAACTAGTCTACAGGCTTGTCTATAAACTAGTCTATAGACTCACCTATAATCTAGTCAATAGACTCGACTATTAACTAGTTTGTAGACTCATCTATAAACTAGTCTAAAACTCATCTATAAACTGGTCTATAAAGTAGTCTATAGATTTACTTTTAAACTAGTCTATAAACTCTATAAATTAGTCTATGGTGTTGTCTCTATAATCAACTATAAAGCAGTCTCTAGACTCATCTATAAACTAGTCTCTAAACGCAGTCTATAGACTCATCCATAAAGTAGTTTATAGACTGCTTTATAAACTAATCAATAGATTCGTCTACAAACTAGTCTAAAGACTCGTATATAAAATAGTCTACAGGCTCGTCTATAAACTAGTTTATAGACTCACCTATAATCTAGTCAATTGACTCGACTATTAACTAGTTTGTACACTCATCTATAAAGTAGTCTAAAAACTCAACAACGACTCGTCTATAAACTAGTCTAAAACTCAGCTATAAACTGGTCTATAAAGTAGTCTATAGATTTACTATTAAACTAGTCTATTGACTCTATAAATTAGTCTATGGTGTTGTCTCTATAATTAACTATAAACCAGTCTCTAGACTCGTCTATAAACTAGTCTCTAAACTCAGTCTATAGACTCATCCGTAATCTATAGACTGCCTTATAAACTAATCAATAGATTCGCATACAAACTAGTCTACAGGCTCGTCTACAAACTAATCTATAGACTCAACTATAATCTAGTCAATAGACTCTACTATTAAAAAGTTTGTAGAGTCATCTATAAACTCAACCACGACTCGTCTATAAACTAGTCTAAAATTCATCTATAAGCTGGTCTATAAAGTTGTCTGTATATTTACTTATAAACTAGTTTATAGACTCATCTATAAGACTAGTTTAACTTGTCTCTATAATCAACTATAAACTAGTCTCAAAACTCGTCTATGAACTATTCTCTAAACTCAGTCTATATACTCACCTATAACCTAGTCATTAGACTCGACTATTAACTAGTTTGCAGACTCATATATAAACAAGTCTAAAACTGATCTATAAACTGGTCTATAAAGTAATCTATAGATTTATTTATAAGCTGTTCTATATACTCATCTATAAACCAGTCTACAGACTCATCTATAAACTAGTTTAGATTCTATTCAAATAACAAATCTATGGGCTTTTCTCTAAACTATACACTAGTCTATAGACTCAAACTTTTATCTAAACTAGCACACACTTATTTTTAGAATCGTGTATAAAATCATTAAAAGTTTCATCTACGAACTCGTCTAAAGTTTGGTCTAATAACTCTAAACTTGTTTATAAACTCATCTAAAACTTGTTTTTAAACTCGTCTATAGTATCATCCATAAACTCGTCGATTTGTCTCTATAATAATTTTCAAACATCTTTGGTATTTACTGTTATTTGTTTTCATAAATATAACACGTCTTTAAATTTAATCATTTTCATAAACACAAATCACACGACGTATGATTTATAATTAATTGCATTAAATATTTCACATACGCCACATTAAACAACGTTTGGCATGTAAATTAATAACAAAAATAACAAAAAAGTAATAATAGAGAAAAACAATTAACACATAAAAAAACAAACAGTGACAAATATTTATTAAATCATTATTAAAGTGATAATCAATTTAGATTGTAATTCAATTAATAAACAATGACATTTTAATTAAAAACTTAACCCAATGATTTATTAACAAAAAGAGTGAGAGCAGTAAAAACTAAAAACTGTGTTTTTTTCTAATGTAAAAGATTTGAATATAAATTTCAATTAAAAGTTTTTCAAACTCGAACACAAAAAGAGTTTTTCTATTTAAAAAAAATTATATCGTTTATATTAAACAAGCACTCATATGTATGTATGTTATATACATATACATACATATACATTTTATTTCTTTTTAAAGTAATTTATACTTTTTTGTAGCTGTTTTGTAATTTTTAATTTTAGCATAAAACCAAATAAGAATTATGTATTTTTTCAAAACAACAATTGTTGTTGGAAAAAAAAAAAAGAAAAATCATTTAAAAAGTTTTTAAAAGTCATAAATTTGTTTGCTGCATGGCTGAGTGGAAAAAAGACAAGAGGACATATTTAAAGAAATCTTATAGAAAAGTTTTTGCATAAAAAGCGAGTTAACAAAAATATAAATAAACAAGATGAAATAATGATACTTTTAAAAACATCTAAAGCAAAAGAAGATAAACAAAACATTTATTTATATTTGTTTATCTGATACAAGGCTAATTCAATAAAAAAGTTAACACGAAATAAGTTTATAACTTTAACCTTGTCTTACCCACATAATCTGACCATATTAATAGAAACCAAATATTTAATGAAATTAATTTACAATAAATTTTCTTATTTCCTTTGTCTTTGCAGGATGAAAAGAATCAATTGCTTATAACAAATATTTGGTTGAAATTGGTAAGTAAATAATTTTTCGTAATTATTCTTCACTTTTATAACAATACAAAATACTCAAAAAAACTATCTTATATTAAAGAATAATGAATACAAATTTTTATTTGTATATAACTACACAAATATTTGTAACAATTAATATTTGAAAACAAAAGAAATAGATGTATTTATAGCCTAACAGATACATATCTCATACACTTTATATCATTTTACTAAGTAAATAAAATGAAAACAAATATTTATTATACATTTTAATCAAACTTGTGGCATAAAAGATATACTTCTTGAGGCTGCATAACTAAAGCTTCAGTTGCTGTTGCCTTTAAAATATTTCTTTAACTACGTTTGATATACTTAGGAGAACTACAGTTGATGAAGAAAATCAAATCAGTGGAAATGTTAAGAGAAAATAACCAAAATTTGCAATTTGTTTATAACAAGCCAAAATAAATTTGCAATATAAATAATGCTGCATAAAAAAACATAAGAAAACTTGATACAAGACAAGAATGATGTTTTTATCTCATTCCTTAAAGAAACCACAAATTTTTCATGGTAAACGAAAAGGAATGTTAAATAAAACTAAACAAATTACAAACGGAAATTAAAATGATGAGAAATAAAGACGAATTGGGGAAAGCACTACATGAATGATATAAATTGTGAACGTAACAATAAACTAAAATTACACTGAACTAGAAAGATTTTTATAAATACTTAATACTTAAGATTTAGGTTTAGATCGATCCTTAATAATAGAATTATCTAACACTTTTTACAGATAAGCTTATCTATAGTCACGTAAACTCGTCTAAAGTCGTTTAACCCATTAAGCCAGTTCCAGTTCAGTTCTTCAGTTCTAGTTAGTTCAGTTCTAGTTCAGTTCTAGTTCAGTTCTAGTTCAGTTCTAGTTCAGTTCTAGTTCAGTTCTAGTTCAGTTCTAGTTCAGTCTAGTTCAGTTCTAGTTCAGTTCTAGTTCAGTTCTAGTTCAGTTCTAGTTCAGTTCTAGTTCAGTTCTAGTTCAGTTCTAGTTCAGTTCTAGTTCAGTTCTAGTTCAGTTCTAGTTCAGTTCTAGTTCAGTTAGTTCAGTTCTAGTTCAGTTCTAGTTTTCTAGTTCAGTTCTAGTTCAGTTCTAGTTCAGTTCTAGTTCAGTTCTAGTTCAGTTCTAGTTCAGTTCTAGTTCAGTTCTAGTTCAGTTCTAGTTCAGTTCTAGTTCAGTTCTAGTTCAGTTCTAGTTCAGTTCTAGTTCAGTTCTAGTTCAGTTCTAGTTCAGTTCTAGTTCAGTTCTAGTTCAGTTCTAGTTCAGTTCTAGTTCAGTTCTAGTTCAGTTCTAGTTCAGTTCTAGTCAGTTCTAGTTCAGTTCTAGTTCAGTTCTAGTTCAGTTCTAGTTCAGTTCTAGTTCAGTTCTAGTTCAGTTTCTAGTTCAGTTTCTAGTTCAGTTCTTAGTTCAGTTCTAGTTCAGTTCTAGTTCAGTTCTAGTTCAGTTCTAGTTCAGTTCTAGTTCAGTTCTAGTTCAGTTCTAGTTCAGTTTCTAGTTCAGTTCTAGTGCAGTCTAGTTCAGTTCTAGTTCAGTTCTAGTTCAGTTCTAGTTCAGTTCTAGTTCAGTTCTAGTTCAGTTCTAGTTTCAGTTCTAGTTCAGTTCTAGTTCAGTTCTAGTTCAGTTCTAGTTCAGTTCTAGTTCAGTTCTAGTTCAGTTCTAGTTCAGTTCTAGTTCAGTTCTAGTTCAGTTCTAGTTCAGTTCTAGTTCAGTTCTAGTTCAGTTCTAGTTCAGTTCTAGTTCAGTTCTAGTTCAGTTCTAGTTCAGTTCTAGTTCAGTTCTAGTTCAGTTCTAGTTCAGTTCTAGTTCAGTTCTAGTTCAGTTTCTAGTTTCAGTTCTAGTTCAGTTCTAGGTCAGTTCTAGTTCATTCTAGTTCAGTTTCTAGTTCAGTTCTAGTTCAGTTCTAGTTCAGTCTAGTTCAGTTCTAGTTCAGTTCTATTTCAGTTCTAGTTCAGTTCTAGTTCAGTTCTAGTTTAGTTCTAGTTATTTCTAGTTCAGTTCTATTTCAGTTCTAGTTCATTTCTAGTTCAGTTCTAGTTCAGTCTCTAGTTCATTCTAGTTCAGTTCTAGTTCAGCGTTCTAGTTCAGTTCTAGTTCAGTTCTAGTTCAGTTTCTAGTTCAGTTCTAGTTCAGTTCTAGTTCAGTTCTAGTTCAGTTCTAGTTCAGTTCTAGTTCAGTTCTAGTTCAGTTCTAGTTCGTTCAGTTCAGTTCTAGTTCAGTTCTAGTTCAGTTCTAGTTCGTTCTAGTTCAGTTCTAGTTCAGTTCTAGTTCAGTTCTAGTTCAGTTCGTTCTAGTTCATTCTAGTTCAGTTCTAGTTCTAGTTCAGTTCTAGTTCAGTTCTAGTCAGGGTCTAGTTCAGTTCTAGTTCAGTTCTAGTTCAGTTCTAGTTCAGTTCTAGTTCAGTTCTAGTTCAGTTCTAGTTCAGTTCTAGTTCAGTTTCTAGTTCAGTTCTAGTTCAGTTCTAGTTCAGTTCAGTTTTCTGTCTATAAATCCTTCACATTTTCGTTTAAATCAGATTAAAAAAAAAAAAAAAACTGTTCTAAAAATGCTGTAGTTTTTTCCTGAACAAGTATAAGAAACAAATAAAAAAATATAAATACAAAAGTTATATATTTTAATCTAAAATTAAGTAAAACTCTTATAAATGAGAAAATCATCATAGACATATGAATTTCATTTCATGGGAAAACAAGCATGTAATCAAAAAAATACATAGAGTAAAAATCTCTGGAGTGAGGATTTCCATTTGCTTTATTTTCTCTGTACTTCCTCTAGCTTTTCATTCATTTGATAGCAGTATAGTGTTGTAGTATAAAATAAATAGCCTAAAGAATTGGCCACATATTTTAGCAATTTGACCAAACAAAATATGGTTACAATTTATCTTGTGGTTAAACACAAATATCCCACAAGCTAAACGAAAAGAAAAAAATACAAATCAAGTGAACAGCAAAAGAAACGTTTATCACAAAAAAAAAAAAACATTTTAAAGCAAAAATGAACCTTAAAGTTATTGTTGGTATTAGTGTGGGAGAAGTAAATATTGCTATTGAACATTTGTTAACCAGCAAATGGAATAAAACAAGTTAACAAAAATGTTTTTGGCCTAAAGAAAAAATATATCACTAGATTTGCAAAGAAAATAATACTTGTATACAAATACTATTTGGATATCTAGCAATTTAGCCTGAAAAAATACTTAAGAAAACAGTTAACAAATTGTTAAAACTCAAACGCAATAAACGCTAGCAGAAGACTGTTTATAGGTTGGTTCAGGGAGGATTATCTCTATAATGCTGTAATCTTTATTTCTTTTTGATTAAGTCTTAAATAAATTTAGTCTGTTTCTTTTAACATTTTTCATATAAGAAAATTTAAATATTCTTCTCCCAGTTTTGGTAAAGTAATTTATCATTTTTCTATTTTGAAGTGTGTTTTTTGCAAAAATAAAAAATATATATATATTTATATTCCACCAAAAAGAAAATATCTATGCCAAAACTATAAAGAAGAAATAAGAAATTTTTTTCTAGCAACTTGTAAGAAGTTGTAATGAAATTTTGTCTGCTTAAACTAAGACAACCATTGACAAGATAGAAAAAAAGTTTGTTTATCGCAAAAAGCTATGAGTTACAAGGAAACGGAAAAAAACTATTTATAATAAACTGCACTGTAATTTCTTTGACATGATTAAAGGATTTTAAACAAAGTTTTATTAAGGGACTAAAAATACTTACATTTCAGAGCTAATATTTGTTTTCACAATTAATTTTTCAAAAAGCTGTCATTGTCACTTGAAGTCTTGATAAGGGTTATTTTTTAAGCGACAACTTAGTGCTGTCAAAAGAATATTAATAATTTAATTTTAATTATCTTTTACGAAATTCTAATCAATCGTTTTCTTTTATTTTAAAGTCTTTGGTTTGTATTTAACCAATTAAGTTTAAAGTTGTTGATATTAAATTTATAGTCTGGACTTTATTCTGATTTCTAGTCAGGATTTTAGCTATTGTCTGGACTACAGGGAGGTCCATAGTCTCAATTATAGTCTGGTCTATAGTCAGGACTATAGTATGGTCTTTGTTCAGGACACTATTATGGTCTATAGCAAGGACTATAGTCTGGTCTATAGCCAGGACTATAGTCTGATCTATAGCAAGGACTATAGTCTAGTCTATAGCAAGGGCTATAGTCTGGTCTATATTCAGGACTATACTATAGACTAGACTATACTCTGGTCTATAGTCAGGTCTATAATCTAGTCAATAGTCAGGACTATAGTCTGGTCTATTGCCTGGACTATAGTCTATTGTCTAGATAGTAACCTGGTCTATTGTCTAGACTATAGTCTAGTCTATTACCTATTCAAAAGTCTGGACTATAGCATGGTCCAAATTCTGATGTATGGTATGGTCTGTTGTCTGCGCTATTATCTGGTCTACATTCTAGTCTGGTCTATATAGGTATAATGTGTAGTATATAATATAGTTTATAATCTGAACAATATGCGTGCCTTTAGCCAGAACTATGTTCTGGACTGTAGTTTAATTTATGGTCTGGACCTGGTCAATTGTCTAGACTATAGTCTGGCCTATAATATGGTATATAATAGCTACTATATTCTAGTCTACAGTCTGGTCCTCGACTATGGACCAGTCTAGACTATAGTCAGTATTATACTCTCTAATAAAGTCTGGTTTATAGACCAGACTATAGGTCTAAATTCTTCTCTATAGTCTAGACTATAGTCTGGGCTGTAGTTTTGACTATGATCTGGTCTAGGGGTTAGTATGGACTGTAGTTTGAACTACGGTTTGCTCTATAGACTATTCTGGATAGTAGTTTGGACTATGATCTGGTCTGTGGTCTCATTTGTGGTTTGAACTGTTGTTCAATTTATAGTCTAGTCTATAATCTGGCCTATAGTTCGTATATACTCTCCTATAATTCGTCGTTTATTTATAGTCTGGACTAGTTTAGTTTACAGTCTTGCCTTCTGTCTAAGTACTATGGACTATGGTATGAACTATAGTCTCTTCTATAGGCCGGACTACAGTCTCCTCTATATTCTAGTGACTGAATGTATGTTTTAATAATATTTTTTGGAACTAAAAACATTTGATAAATTAACTAATTAATAACAAATTTGAGACTTTAATTTGAACTGCCATTTTAATCACTTTTTAAATTAAATTTATTAAAATAAAATTTACTGCCTCGAAAAAAATCCAATTTCCCTTAAACAATTTGCCATAAACTAGACCAGGCAGAAAACAACTTCATTATATTAAATGTCCATTTTTTCCTATTACTCATCCTGTTGACACAAAACTTTACACAATTCATTTTATGGTAAATTCTCCCCAAGGAGTCCCTCCCCTTTTTCAATATTGGAAGCAACAGTAAAGTAATGTGTCTGTCTGTCTGGCTGAAGGATTATGAATAAACCACAAAAAACAGTCAAAGAATATGATTAAACTAAAACCACAAAACCTACAAAAAAATATATGAAAAAAATTTCTTAAAAAAAAACATTGATAAAAATGGTAAAGAAATCATTTAAGAAAAAATTCTTATCCCCAAGTGGGAATCGAACTCAAGCCTGAAATAATATTCAATTAATATTAAAAATACTTAATATTAAAATTTTTTCAAATTATATCTCGTATGAAGTCTTGCCTTAATCTGAACTATAGTCTCTATTATAGACCGGACTATACTTAATATCGCCTAAAGTATGAACTAGTCTCTTATATATTCTTGTCAATATTTAGAATTACAGTCTGTACTATACTATATAGCTATAGAGAACATCAAAGCATGGACTATTTATAGTCTTTACTATAATATGGGCTATAGCCTTTTCTATAGTTTGGATTATAATCTGTTCTATAGTCTATCCTAATGTCTGAACTATTATGTCAAATCTAAAACGTATGCTAATTAATAACATTATCTTTAATATTTTTATCTTAAATCCATTACTTCGATTACTATTCTCCTGCTCTTTATCTTCCTACAAGATTATTTTAATAAAATGTCCTGTTCTCTTGTAGACGACATATTTAACTTTGAATTTAAACAAGATTTTTATTAATGTCACAATCATTGTTACTTTTACAGTTTGTTGCAAGTAAATACCATTCTGGGATGTCACTTTAACAAACCAAATACATTTTTTATAAAACAAAAAAAAAGTACACTTTCACATTTACTATGTATAAATTTTCTAGCCAAAGTAAAACAACGAAAAATAATGTCTCAAAAAAACTAAAAAATGCACAAGAAAAATGCATTTGATTTGGATTTTTATTACAACGTTTTATATACAATTTCCTTTTGTGTAACGTTTTTTTTGTTTCTGTTTCTGTTTTAAATGTTTAATATAAAAAATAGATGACAACAAATGTAAACAAGGGAAATAATATAGCCAGAGTAAAGTGATGTCTTTTTTAACAACTTTTTTATTTTTATTTTAGTGACGCCATTTTTTGTTTAAAAATACAAAATCCTACAGAAAAAAAACATTTAAACGTGAAGGCAAAATTGAAAAAAAAAAAACTACTTTTCAATTTCCGTAAAAAGCAATTTTGGCAAAGAAATCGCGTTTGGTTAAATTAAACAAAGAATGCTGTAAAAAAGCAAAATTAAAAAATAAATTTTCACAAAACTTGAAAATTCTTTTTGTGGGGTTATTAAGCCCAAAGCAGTCGATTCTTAAACAGGTTTAACAAAAAAATTTAAAAATAACAAATTTAAACAATTTAAGAAATACTTTTGAAAATTTGAGTTTAATTTTATCTTATAAAAGATTTTCTTTATATATTTTTAATATAACTTTCACAATATATTTTTTAACAAAGGACTTCGTAAATAATGCCAGAAATTACTTACTAAGAGTTAAGATTGTTTAGGCCAAAATGAGGAATATACATATCTTCAACTATATATATTTGCATTGCTTATACTTATCCCATAACCCGTATTATTTGTTTGGCATCATTAAAATGTCAACAGCACTAATTGCAAAAATCTCTTTTATGAAAAGAGAAGAAAGAAAAAAAAATCCTAAAATTAATTAACTTGGTGGTATATTTGTAATAAAGTATAATTGTTGTAGTAGTTGTTCTACTTGCTCAAGTATTAGTTTCCAGCAGTTTTAAAAGAAGTTCATTTATGATTTTATAAAATATAGTTCAAATAAACTATATAACAGACAATGGGCGAGTATACTTCAGACAATTAACGTCACTATAGTCCAAGCTAAAGACGAGATTATAGAACGGAACTATAGTAAAGACTATAGGTGAGACTATTATCCATAATATAGACGAGATTATAGTCCAGACTACAGACGAGACCACACTCCAGACTATAGTCCAGATTATACTCTACACTATATTCCAGACTACAGACTAGATTATAGTCCATATTATAGACGACATTATAATCCAGACTATATAAGAGACCATAGTCCAAACTACAGACGAAACTATAATCCAGACTATAGACAAGACTATAGTCCAGAATATAGACGAGTCTATAGTCCACACTACAGACGAGACTATAGCCCAGACTGTAGACGACACTATAATCCAGACTTTAGGCGAGTCTATAGACAGGACAATAGACTAGTCCAAATAGTCCAAATTTTAGACGAGCCTATAGTTCAACTACAGACGAGGCTATTATAGTCCAGCCTATAAACGAGATTAAAATCCGGACTATAGAAGAGATCATAGTGCAGACTACTGACGATACTATACTCCAGACTATTGACGAGACTATAGTCCAAACTGTAGACGAGACTACAGTCCAGACTACAGACGGGACTATAGACAAGACTATAGTCCAGACTACAGATGGGACTATAGTCGAGACTATAGACAAGACGATAGTCTTGATAATAGACGAGACTATAGTCTAAACTATAGACTAGACTACAGTTCAGACTAGAGACGAGTCTATAGTCCAGACTACGGACGAGACTATAGTCCAGACTACAAACGGGACTAAAGACGAGACTATAGACGAGACTATAGGCAAGATAATAGACGAGATTATAGACAAGACTATAGTCCATACTATAGATTATACTACAGTCGAGTCGACTGTATAGACGAGGCTCTCCCCCAGACTATAGACGTGACTATACTCCAGACTTCACACGTGACTTTAGTCCACTATAGGCGAGACTATAGACGATATTATAATCCAGACCATAGACTAGATTATAGTCCAGACTATAGGTGAAACTGTAGTCCAGACACTCTTTATATTCTCGCCTATAGTTCAGATTATAAAGGAATGTATAGTCCCGACTATAAACGAGATTGTAGTCCAGACTATAGACGAAACTAAATACTATAGTCCAGTCTATAGACAAGATTATGTTCAGACTCTAGACGAGACAGTACTCCATAATACAGACGAAACTAAAGTCCCCACTGAGACTATATTCCAAGCTAACGTCTAGACTATATTGACCAAATTACAGACGAGACTAAAAATAGATGAGACTATAGTCCAGAATATAGAAGACACTAAGACTATATTCCAGACTAACGTCTAGACTATATAGACCAAATTACAGACGAGATTAAATTGCAGCCTATAGATGAGACTTTAGTCCAGAATATAGAAGACACTACAGTCTCTGGGTCTATGAGTTTAGACTATATATAGTCCAGTCTGCAATCGAGACTACTTATATTGAAAAAAAACTATAGGCAAGAGCTTATAAAGGAGGCTACAATCGATATTTTGCTGTCTGCTAAACTACAGGGTAGTAACAGTAATTGTTTACTAATCTAACACATATACATTGCTTTGCTCCTTTAAATACTTTTACATACATACATATTATTCATACCTAAATGAGTACTTTTACTCTAATGAGTACAAATGATCCCTTCTAATATAAAAAACTTACCATTTGAAACAATAAAAGAAAATATCACAACAGCCAGCAGATTTTTAGACTGGTCAATTGTGATGACTTTAAGTTTCACACAAAAGAATTGCTATTTTTGTTTCCTTTACCCACCTCTACCCTTCATTCTATTCCGATTTTCAATTTATTTCTTTAGAGATGTTTTTTGCCAGTTGACAACCGGAAAAAAGCAAAAAAAGAAACTTATTAACAAAAATTTCGTATAAATGAAAAGTTTATTTGAAAAAGGAGAACATTTTCTAAAGAGAAAAGCAATAAAATTGTAAAAAAAAAAAAATCGAAAATTGTTTAAATGAAACCAATCATAGCAAATTATTAAAACAAAAGACTTGTAGAAAGTGTAAGTTGCACAAAAAAGTGCTAAAGAAAATACTTATTAAAAAACTAATGAAAAACTTGCAATAATAGTGTTATAGTTGCGATAATTTACATTATTGCTACATTTATAATTAAAAACAGTGGGGTCGAAAAAAAGAAAATTTAGAAGAAAAGTATTCAAGCAATACAGAGCTATATATATATAGGTTATCATAAGTTAACATCTAGAAACTGAACTTTCAACTTATATGGACTTCGTAATCTTTTCATAACATTTAAACAAATTTCATCATTGAAATTTACTTTTAAAATTTACCTTCAGTATTAAAACATTTAGAAATATATTTTTTAAATAAATTTCCTCTATTTATCTCCTTATTTTCAGGAATGGAATGATATGAACTTAAGATGGAATGCCAGCGATTATGGTGGTGTTAGAGATCTACGAATACCACCTCATCGTTTATGGAAACCAGATGTTTTGATGTACAACAGGTAAGACGGACAGACAAACGATTTGTATTTCAAGATTAAGCAATCAACTGCATAGAACAGTTTTATAGCATAAGAAATTTAAATTCCTTTTAAATGTAGATTTTAAGTTATCCTTGCTAGAAAGATATTCCAAGAAATATTACGCACTTTAAAAATGAAATCTTCTTCGTAAATTCTATATTCCCCTTAAAGACACATAAGTGCATTTTAGCGTAAATTTACCCATGTTTTACTTTACAAAACACTTAAACAAATATCTTTTCTAGTGTTACAGTTTTATTGTTGTTTTTGTTGTTATTTTTTCAATTATATTTTAAAAACAACAAGAACAAAAACAAGTAAATAAATGGAAATGGTACTCCTCTTGACTGCTTGAAACTTTATGCACTGGTTTACATTCAAGTTACTGGGCGATGATGTTGTTGATGCTGCGATTGCTGTTGTGTTGATGAAGGTTTGGGGTTTTTGTTTTATTTTAACAAATGTTTTCAAATACTTGCATTTCGTTGCAAAAAAAACTAAATGAAATATAATAAAAAATATATGTATGTATATTACTGTATTACATAGAGTAACAATTACGAATTGGGTGTATAAATTGCGTTGAGACTGTAAAACTTTAATAGCTGTATGTGGCTTCATTTCTGTGTCATTCTGTGTTATTAAAAAAATAAGAAAAAAACAATTTATTTCTGTTGCTGTGCATATTTGACATATAAGTCAAATGGAGCGTAAGTATGTGTTGTTTTATTTATCTTTTATTTTCCCCATCTATGTTTGGGTTGCGCTCCGCTCTGGTTACTATTATGAGGCACAGTGATACATGGGTGATAAGAACTTTTTAGCTTCCAAGTTTAAACATTTTCATACAGAAAACATAAATTATTAAAATTTTACTTCTATTAGATTAGCTGGGAAAACTGATAAACGGTTTACGTTCAGTTCTAGTTCAGTTCTAGTTAGTCATTCTAGTTCAGTCTAGTTCAGTTCTAGTTCAGTTCTAGTTCAGTTCTAGTTCAGTTCTAGTTCAGTCTTCAGTTCTAGTTCAGTTCTAGTTCAGTTCTAGTTCAGTTCTAGTTCAGTTCTAGTTCAGTTCTAGTTCAGTTCTAGTTCAGTTCTAGTTCAGTTCTAGTTCAGTTCTAGTTCAGTTCTAGTTCAGTTCTAGTTCAGTTCTAGTTCAGTTCTAGTTCAGTTCTAGTTCAGTTCTAGTTCAGTTCTAGTTCAGTTCTAGTTCAGTTCTAGTTCAGTTCTAGTTCAGTTCTAGTTCAGTTCTAGTTCAGTTCTAGTTCAGTTCTAGTTCAGTTCTAGTTCAGTTCTAGTTCAGTTCTAGTTCAGTTCTAGTTCAGTTCTAGTTCAGTTCTAGTTCAGTTCTAGTTCAGTTCTAGTTCAGTTCTAGTTCAGTTCTAGTTCAGTTCTAGTTCAGTTCTAGTTCAGTTCTAGTTCAGTTCTAGTTCAGTTCTAGTTCAGTTCTAGTTCAGTTCTAGTTCAGTTCTAGTTCAGTTCTAGTTCAGTTCTAGTTCAGTTCTAGTTCAGTTCTAGTTCAGTTCTAGTTCAGTTCTAGTTCAGTTCTAGTTCAGTTCTAGTTCAGTTCTAGTTCAGTTCTAGTTCAGTTCTAGTTCAGCTAGTTCAGTTCTAGTTCAGTTCTAGTTCAGTTCTAGTTTCAGTTCTAGTTCAGTTCTAGTTCAGTTCTAGTTCAGTTCTAGTTCAGTTTCTAGTTCAGTTCTAGTTCAGTTCTAGTTCAGTTCTAGTTCAGTTCTAGTTCAGTTCTAGTTCAGTTCTAGTTCAGTTCTAGTTCAGTTCTAGTTCAGTTCTAGTTCAGTTCTAGTTCAGTTCTAGTTCAGTTCTAGTTCAGTTCTAGTTCAGTTCTAGTTCAGTTCTAGTTCAGTTCTAGTTCAGTTCTAGTTCAGTTTCTAGTTCAGTTCTAGTTCAGTTCTAGTTCAGTTCTAGTTCAGTTCTAGTTCAGTTCTAGTTCAGTTCTAGTTCAGTTCTAGTTCAGTTCTAGTTCATTTCTAGTTCAGTTCTAGTTCAGTTCTAGTTCAGTTTAGTTCAGTTCTAGTTCAGTTCTAGTTCAATTCTAGTTTAGTTATAGTTCAGTTCTAGTTTTTGTTTTCTTTTGAATCTTTTTCAAAAATATTATTTATAATTTTTGTTCTAATCTTCGCTTTCAATACCCACAGTTTATTCTATTATATTATTCGTTTTATTTTTATTGTTGCTGTAAATGCACATTTCTTTTTATATTTTATTGTTGTTTTTTTTTTATTCTTATATATGTATTTCGTTTAACTACATTTTTCATTTTAAATTTTTGTTAAAAACTCACAGAAACAAATTCACCAGGCAGTTTTGGAAACAGTCCATTACTTGTAGCATATTTTTACCAAAGTCTCAATATTTGGTTTTGTATCGCTGTAATGCTAAAAAAGAAGGTAAATTAGCACTTTATTGTCCCATGTGGGGAAAAACACTGTTGGTACAATACGAGCAGAAATTAAGCTAGTAAAGTGTGTGAAGTCGACACACCGAACAGCAGGGCAGTCTTTTACTGTATTACTATTGTGGGTATGTAATCGCATTCGTCGCTTGTATGTTTGTGATGTTTTGAGTCCATTTATCATGTTAACAGAAATAAAATCAGACAGTTAGCATACATTCATTGAACATATAGTAAATACTTATGCAGACACACATACTTATTTATATGTGATATGTGAGTGTGTAGTACTAGTAGCCAATATTTAGTTGCCATCCATGCATGAACAAGACACTACGAGTCAACGAAATAGGACATTTCTCTAAAGTTATTTAATCTTATAAGGGAAAGATATTAGCCGTTAAAATTGAGGTCTTTTTTCAGGAATTTTAATATAGTAATGTTATAATTTTAAATACTTTCTGAGAATCCTGATCGTTCCAAAATATTATTATTCTTTCCATCTTTAGCCTGTTGATTTAAATACCAAATAATACATTTGATGTTCACTTAAGATTTTACTGTGGTATGGAATTAATGCCGATTTTTCGACAAGTTAATTTATTGATAGGTATAAAAATATTGACAAAGAAGTTATCAATAGATGTGATCCTCCAAAAAAAAAAGTTATTTTCATTAATTAAACTTTTTGCCCAACTTTTCCTTGCTATTTTATGTTCTTCTTTTTGACACATATGTAAGTACAATATCGTGTCGCTTGCTCAAATGCATTTCCGTACATACATATTATGTACATATGTATATAAACGAAAAAAGTCATACCCAAACCAATATTGTTAAAGAAGAAAAGAAAAACGTACAAATGACTTCACATGTTCGAATATAGACTTGAAGCATAAACAGGGAAAAATCCCTGCAGGAAATATACTGTGGATAGTATGCAAAGTAAAATGAGATATTTTGGATAATAATTTCTAAAATAGCAGTTTTAAAGATAACACAAATTTATAAAAGGACTAGTCAATGAATAAATTTCAGATATTCAGTGTTTTTAAGAATATTTTGTGTGTTAGATTTTTCCAATTGGGTTCTTTTTCAACTTGTTTCACAATACAAAGGAATTCAATTTTAACCAAAATACCTGCATACAAGACAAAATATATTTGTGTGGTTTCTTTAATGATAAAAATAACCACAATGACTACATGAACATACAAATGTATACGCAAAGTACATATTAAATCCCTGCAGTTTAAAACAAATAACAGTTGCCGACAAGCTTCTTTCTTAATTGTAATGAGAAGCATTTCAAATTAGCTTTCATTTTATATATGTACAGTATACATATATTTATGTATCAATTGATCAATTTAAGATTCAATAAACTACAAATTTTATACAAACTGTTTCAAATTTTTCCAATTTCAAATAAAATTAAATTTGTAAAATTTTTGTTTCGTTGGTGCAGAGGATAACTGGTACCCTGAACTGCTGGTAACATAATTGTTTATCTATTGATATTAATACAATACCACACAATGACATCCTTTTAAATAAACAAATACGATTATGGAACATGCAACACGCACACACTAAAACATTTGTGGCAAGCTTTAATATTACTTTTTGTTTGAAACCAAAAATGACACCCAGACGTAGGGTACAAATAATACATGAAGACATTGAACACTTGCATTTCGATCTTAAATTTGAGATAAAATTACTATTGTGTTTCTGCATTTGAAGTTAAACGTGTAGTCTAAGAATAGTATTGTAATATTGTGATATTTTAAATGAAAGTAAAGTAATTATCAGATGTAATTGTCATAAACAGAGAATTGTGAAATATTATATCGTAATTAAGGAAAAAAGCAAAATTTGCATCGAAATTTTTTATGTTTCTTAAAAAAACTTTCAATAAATCTGTGACTCATGCTTTCTAACTAACTAACTAACTAACTAACTAACTAACTAACTAACTAACTAACTAACTAACTAACTAACTAACTAACTAACTAACTAACTAACTAACTAACTAACTAACTAACTAACTACTAACTAACTACTAACTAACTAACTAACTAACTAACTAACTAACTAACTAACTAACTACTAACTAACTAACTAACTAACTAACTAACTACTAACTAACTAACTAACTAACTAACTAACTAACTAACTAACTAACTAACTACTAACTAACTACTAACTAACTAACTAACTAACTAACTAACTAACTAACTAACTAACTAACTAACTAACTAACTAACTAACTAACTAACTAACTAACTAACTAACTAACTAACTAACTAACTAACTAACTAACTAACTAACTAACTAACTAACTAACTAACTAACTAACTAACTAACTAACTAACTAACTAACTAACTAACTAACTAACTAACTAACTAACTAACTACTAACTAACTAACTAACTAACTAACTAACTAACTAACTAACTAACTAACTAACTAACTAACTAACTAACTAACTAACTAACTAACTAACTAACTAACTAACTAACTAACTAACTAACTAACTAACTAACTAACTAACTAACTAACT